GGTGAGAACTAAAGACAAGATGATACCTGGAATCAGCCATAATGTGGAAACCTACTCTACCATCAATTGCAATGGGAACTCATGTGAACCACAAAATAAGAGCTGACCTGGCAATTTGTACCTTGCCTGAAGCATGGAGTCCCAGGGACAGCAAGGCCAGGGACTTCCCCAAAACCGCTTCAGATTTCAAGCCTTAGACCACACAAACCTGAGTGAGAGGTGGGACAACAAGGAAGAGGCTGTGTCAGTCCTGAGGGCATCGCCCCAGGGGTTTCGCTGCCAGGGCCCTGGGCACGCAGGGCAAAGTCACAGCTGACAGCAGCCCCAGTGTTTGGGAGGTGGGCAGAGGCTCCCAGCTGTGCTGTGGGAAGGCTGCAGCCAAGGTGCAGTCATGGATTGTGGAAACTGCCTGTGCCTGGCTACGGCCCACAGCCTGTGCCCAGACCCCAACCACAAGACTTGGCCTGGACCTGTCCCTGGCCCCAGCCTGTCCCAGTGTCCATGGTGGTGCCCAGTGCCCGGGGCTGGGGCTGCTAAAAGGATGGATGCTCATCTACTAGATGATTTCCAGAGATGTCTTCCAATCCCTTTGATTCTGTGACTTCATAGCATTGAAACTGACAGTGCCTTATATACAGAGGATAAAATTACATCTAAATTTATTACTCATTTCCCTCTCTGAGCAATTATCCTCTGATTTAAAAATTTTGTAACTTCACTCTTTTCTTTTTTCTTGCTGTTCACCTACTGAAATACTGTTTAGAGAAATCTTTCCTGCTAGGCTAGGAATCTTGAAAGATTACTATTTTTGAAAAGCAAAATGTAATCCCATTGCTGCTACTTCTCATTTATCTTTCTTGGATACAAATTGCCTACTTACTGAGTTCTTTCCCTCCATTTTTCTGGATCATTCCACAAGTGCTCAGTGCCTCCTCCTGGAGTGGTATTAATGACATCCATCTCACCTACATTTAGATGTCTGCAGTGTAGCTAACTTTATCTGAGTGAGCTAAGTTCTCATTGTTTTTGGAGGTCTAAATGTTGGGAACAGAGGCTGGAAACTGCATTGGTCAAATGGGCAGCTCTGCAAAACTCCTCTACTTTTGTGGACAGGCTGTCCACAAGCTGTAAAAGACACTTTGACACTCATTTTCCTGATGACTATACTGTCATTATCTAGTGTGACAATTAGTCATTTGGCAATTCTATGTAAACGCTCTTCAATTTACGTGTGCAACATTTAGTATTTAAGTCTGCAGTTGAACCCAACTTCATAGAATTGTAGAATCATAGAATCAGAATCATAGAATTATAGAATCATAGAATGGCTTGGGTTAGAAGGGACCTCAAGGATCATGAATGTCCAACACCCCTGCCACAGGCAGGGCTACCAACCTCCCCATTTAATACTAGACCAGGTTGCCCAGGGCCCCATTCAGCGTGGCCCTGAACACCTCCAGGGACGGGGCATCCACAGCCTCTCTGGGCAGCCTGTTCCCGCACTTCACCACTCTCATAATAAAGAACTTCTCCCTGATATCCAACCTAAGTTTTTCTTCCCATAACTTAAAATCATTTCCCTTGTACTGCCATTATCCACCCTTTCAAAGAGTTGACTCCCCTCCTGTTTATAGGCTCCCTTTAGATACTGAAAGGCTGCAGTGAGGTCACCCCACAGCCTTCTCTACTTCAGACTGAATCGAGCCCAGTTCCCTCAGCCTGTCTTTGTAGGGGAGGTGCTCCATCCCTCTAATATTCTTTTTGGCTCTCCTCTGGACCTTCTCTAACAGCGCTCTGTCTTTCTTGTATAGGGGCCCCAGACCTGGATGTAGCACTCCAGATGGGGCCTCAGGAGGGCAGAGTACAGAGGGACAATGACCTCAGTGTCCCTGCTGGCCACCCAATTCATGCCTGCCATTTCCATAAAGTCTGTTTACAGGAAATATTTCTTGTAAGGGAGTGATCTGAGAGTAAAGCAAGTTAGGCTGTCCAGATTATTCAGGTTCATTTTAATATTACAGTGCTGAATATTAGAATGTGCTTCCTTCTAGGTTAATTTTTTATGCTGTAAAAGTCAAGGAATGCCATTTCACTTCACACTTTGAACCTTTTTTTACAGCTTTTAAAAGAAGCCATAAGTTCTTTACACTTGCTTGATACTTCTGTTTAATGATATAATCAACTGCCTCTTTGGGAAGCAGATTTATTTCATGTGAAGTCAGTATCAATTACAGTCATGGGTAATTTTATGTTTATGACATTATTTTACCAGCAAAGATAGACTTCCAGCTTAGGACAGACTTAGGTTTTCAAAGCAGCGTAGTATGATTTCTGATTGTTTTCTGAATGCAGCAGAGAGAATTTAATCGTCAGTCCAGCCTGTGTGACAGGCAGAACCGTGCCTTGGTCAAGCAAATACCATTCCCTAGACTGGGAGAAAAAATTGCCAGTGAATTTTGGAGAATGCAGAAAGTCCTAGGCCTTTTCATTTATGCAGTACCTACACAGATAAACCGTGCTGAGCTCTGAACCTTGAGAAGATTCAAAGTGAAAAACAACAGCAGAAGTCGCCAAACTTCTGCATCTTTTGCCTGGGATCTCCTTGAACAGAGCAAGTGCTGAGCTACCCATACAAACAGTGAGGCAGCCACATCTTCACCAGTACTATATGTCCAGAGGCTGCATGCAGCATTTCCTTGCCCATCTTTTTTTCTGCCCAGAAAGTCTTTATGCTGTGTAGTGGACCTCTGTTCTGTGCCGGTTTCTGCTGGGTTTGGTTGGGATGGAGTTAATGTTTTCCAGAGCAGCCTGCCTGGTACTTTGGTTTAGATTTGTTACCCAGAAGCAGTTGCAAATATGCCTCTGTTTTAGATGTTGAGCATCAAGATCTTCTGTTTATCTATCAAAGTGGAGGGTTGTTAGGGTAGTATGGTTAGGTCATGGTTTGACTCGATGATCTTCAAGGTCTTTTCCAACCTGAGTGATTCTATGATTCTGCTATTTCCATGAATAGGCTGGGGATGAGCATGAGGACAGAGGTGCAGGGGGCACATCTGGGACGTGTGACCTGAATTAACCCAGGTATCTCCAACAGAATATAACACTATGCTCTGTGATAAAACTATGTGGAAGGTAGCCATTGCTCGGAGTCTAACTGCTCATCAGTATGCACGTGAGAGGTGGCTAATGATTGCCTTTGCTTTACCTGTTTGTTTTTTCCTTTTTCTTCTTTGCCTTGACCCATGAGCTTTTCTTGCTTTTTTGGATTCTATTTCCCCATTCTGCTTGGAGGAGATGGGGTCTTAGATACCACAAGCTGTCACATTTATTTAATTATAAATAAAAATGACTTTATCTTTGCCCTTGCAGCAGGTATTCAGGTCTGCAGTGCCATATTATGAGGGGCAAAGCTGGGTCACTTATGCTCCACTGCCTAGCATTAAAATCTAGCTCACAGATATATATTTCTCTGTATGTGTACGTGTATATAGTATTTAATTATAGCTCACTTCTAAGAAGTGTTGAGTTTCTTCGTTGGCATACAAATATGTTACAATGTGATAGTATCAGGAGGGTTTGTTGCGTAGAGTCAGTGAGGGAATTATGCAGTTTTTTTATGCAGAGCACTTGGGTTCTCTCTTGAGCAAACTTGAGAGAATTTTTGGAGGAGTTTCTCCATAAGTGTACCCAATCAGCATCCTCTACCTATTTGCCTACAGTTTCTCTTTGTATGAGGCATGAAACACACTCATGTTGCCTTCCACTTGGGTGCAGGCAGGTCCAGAGGAAAAAAAAGGTAACACAGAGGCACCATCAGCCATCTTAGTTTGGTATGTAGAGTCAGTGAGGGAATTACACAGTTTTCTAGAAGCATGGTATATTGCTATCCCCCTTTGCTAATGTTTGTGGTTTTCTTTTTTTTTTATTATTCCCAACACAGCAGAAAATTCCAAATATTGCCAGCACTGTGTAAATTCTGTTGATAGGTCACCAATGACTCTCTGGGAGAAAGCAAAGGCAAATTAATACATTTAGGAGCAGTGCCATTTTTGCACAGCACAGCACATCACATTTTGGCATTGCTTGCTGAAGAGGTCTGTGGATTTGTAAGCAAAACTATGGCTAAAAAAAGGGAAAAACTACTATTTAATGAGTAGATCCAGTTGAACATTCTGGTGGTGGACACTCTCCTAACTGGTTTACAGACTTTAACCCAGAATCCAGAAGCTGCAGGTGACCGTAGCTCACAGCAGACTAAGGAGACTGAATCAGAAGTCTGAACAATAATAAATGCACAGATTTTGGACTGAAAGGCAGTCCTACCTACAAGAGATGATGGCAGCTCTGGGTGGCACTGATAACCTTACATTTTGCATACCTTCTTTCAGTCTGCAGATGGATTCTTAAGGGCAAGGGCTGAACTGAGGGTAATTAACAGGACCTTGGAGCCAGGAAGAAAACCAGTTTTTCCTGAACAGTTTTTGAAGACTCAGTCTACAGTTTGTTAACCTGGAGCAGTAGATTTCATTTGATGCATGAAACTGATGTTAAGGACCAATTTTTTTTGGTCTAGTAGGCCTATTTCTATTAATACAACACGGTGAACTTCAGTGGTATTTGGCTTCTGTATTCCACCTTCAGGGAAACTAATATGAACCCCCTTATTCCCCTTCTTACCACACACGTTTTAGGAAAATTAGGCAAATATCTCCCTATTATGATTTTGTGTCTTCTCTACTGCCTCTTAATCGTCATGAAAATAGTTGCTTTTGTCCATGGTTGAACTGCCAGCAATGATACCTCTCCCCTACAATTGGAATGAATGGGGAAACTCTTTGTTGTTTCAGGCCTTCAACCTGATCTCAGCAAAATCAGGCTGACATCTTTTACTCTCACATCCTTTACTTTCTGTTTGTAAGTATATTCTTGCAGGTCAGCAGTGCTCATACAACAGACCGATAACTGTTCATCAGTGTTCTGCTTTGGATCAGTGACATTAACAGCACTTCCCTATCAGTATCTGAGTAGTGCACAAACTGGTTTAATTTGCATTGAAATTCATAGTTGTGCAGGATTCATTTCAGTACTCCTTCCAATACTGAACCAATACCTCAACACATGGCTTGGCATTTCTTACTTTCAGAACTAACGGTGAAAATGTCAGGGAGGTTCCACGGTGCCTTGCTGGTTCATCTGATGACCCACGTTCTGCCCTGTTGGGGATGTTAGTGGCATCACCACTGACAAGATTGCTCTTTAGACACGTGCAAAATACAGGGAGACTCAACTTATCTTTGGAGTAGCCACCTTGTGAATCAGCCTCGTGATGATGCTGTGGGCAGAGCCTGTGGGTTAACTGACTTGAAGAAATGGCATAAATAATCCCAGTAATGCCAGAATACAGAAAAGCATTTTACAGCTATGAAAGTGAGCAGATTTGGGGCTTTTCAGAGCAGGTTTCAAAGCCATTTAGTGACAGTATACGTTGTTTTCTTTTACTCAGGGCAGTGATTTCTTCTTTCTTTTTTGGAAAGAGGTTTGTTCCACAGCCAGGGAAGGCACTAACATCAGGGAAGATGCTGACATGAGGACTCTCCTGGCTCCTCAAAGACTGTGCTTCCATTGGCAAGTAGGAGAAGGAGAAAGATGAGTTTGGGTAGTTGGGATGAAACCAGCTGGGGAAGAGTTAAAAAGGCATCTAGCAGAGGCTGGGGGATGTGATGCCTTCAGAGTTTGCTTCTAGATGTTAGATAAGAGTGGGAGTTAGATAAGACAGATTTTATTTTTGTCCTGATGTAACACTTGATTGCATTTACTGCCTTCAAGGAGCGAATGTTGAACTTTAGTCATGGAGAGGGCTGCTGACTAATCATAATGTAATGACTCATTTGCTTTTTTCTTCTAAAAGGCGTTCACATTTTTGCCACGTTCTAGCGTGGATTTGAATAAGAAACCTCCCAGAATGCTATATAAAGGACTTCCAAAGACTCAGCGTGTTAGTAACCCCACTGGAATCACATAAGGTAAGAGTTATGAATCTCTATGAATTGGATAGTTTTGTAACTGTCGTACGTAGTGTTAAAAGGTGAAATCCCTTCTTCTTCTATCAAATGCTATTTAGATATAACTTAAAACCAGTGCTTTCTAGTACCTTTGTGGTAAGAGTGTCTGTGTTGGGCTTTGTTTGTATGTGTGCTGGGCTGTGTTTGCCAACTTTAGGTTGGCTGTGAAATTTAAATAGGGATATAATATAAATACAATGTATGAGTAATATGGAAATCAATATAATGGAAGTAGAAATGAAAAGGAAATCTAGCCACAAATAAATAAACTATGAAATGGAAATAAATAGAAACTGAAATTCAAAATATAAATTAATGAAGAGATTAATAGAAACAGAAACTAACACCCAAGACTGGGGTGTAGAGAATAGTCCCAAGACAGTAGTATGTTTAGATCTCATTATGATCATAATTACTAGTGACTATTTGGAAGGGATTTCCAGTATTATCAGCATTTGTCATTTCTAAATAAATAAAAGATTTCTTTTGTATGGGATTTAAAAATTATTGTGATTATTAAAATAGAATTTAATCCTGGAAGGCCAGATCTTATATTTGCTTAGTTGCCCTCTACCTTTATCTCCCTTAATAGCACTGTGAAGTAAAGTTTTTACACTATGAATCAGTACAGTGGTTTTAATTTCTCAAGGCAGGCATTCTTTGGATTGAACTCATTTTTGTCTCCCAGTTTGAATTCCAGAATTAAACAAACAAACAAAACAAACATACAAAATCTTTGAAATCTGTTCTGAGAAATTTCATTTGATACAATTTTTTTCCTTACCATTATGTTGTTAAAAAATGTCATGGTTTTGTTTCAAATTTCTCCTCAACAAAAGCTTTCTCCTTGAAGCTGCAGGTGGGATGCAAGGCAAGCGATTCCAGGGGCTGTAGTGGTGCTGTTTGGAGATTGCTCACTGTCAGGAATACAGAGATCTCATCGCTAGCTGTTGGTAGCCTTGAGCATAGTCTGTGGGAGTTCTCTTATGGAACTTCACCAGCGGAAGGCAATTTAGAGAAAAGCTAGGCAGCCATGGGATCCAGCAAAGCAATGCCCAGAATAGGATTTTCTCTCCAAGCGCTTTTTCAGAGTGTGGATGAAGCAACTTTTGTTCCTTCCCTTATTTGATAGTTTGTTGACTGTTTAGCTGGTCTGATTTTAACTGGTAACGTGCAGAGCCTGCTTGGTAACTGTGTGTTACGCTGAAGAGCAGACGAGGTGGTGATGGGTGTATCTGAGGCTAAACAGCAGAAAGAATGTCTGTGGATTAGGGAGTCTGAGGAATTAGTTAGGGACTTTCCTCTAAATGTAGAGCGAATGAGAAATACCCCTCAGGTTGGCCACCTTTCTCATTGCAGCCAAAAATAAGTCATTCAAAATAAGCCAGCCTTTGAGCAAATATGTGTACTTACGTGAAGATCATCTTTTAAACTAATATTTATCTTACGGTCAGTGTAAAGTTGTTTGATCTGAGTTTTGTTTCTAACTGCGTTGTGCTACCCAGGTGATGAAGATGGAGACAGAAGATGAAATTGCCATTGTGGGAATAGCATGCAACTTTCCCGGAGGTAAGTTTTGAGTAAATAGAAAGCAGGATGCTGACTGAATATTGAAAAGCACAGTCACTTGTTAGCATTGATGTGGAGTAAAATAGCATGTTTTCCCCTTAATTTTGCAGAGTTCGTGGCTTTGCTACTTGTAGGATCTTTTTGAATGATCTCAGTGTGGTGAAAATGAGTTTGTTTGAATTTGTCCATTGAGAGCGAGAGCTGCAGTGTTCGCTGTGGGCAGGGCTTTGAGCTGCATGCATGAAACTCATGCAGACAAACCAAACGTGTCAGGGATGATTTGGGGTTATTGCACGTGCACTGGCCAGATGATCATGCACAGGTGTAGGACTGTGCATCCATAGGGACGTTTGTATTGTTAGGTTAGATGGATGGAGACATTTAGGTAGCTGGCTGGTGGACTGAGCATGGGTGTTTAGCCTCAGGTGAGATTGCTGTCGTCCAGTAACTATTCCTGACAGTTCCAGTGCCCGATGTCCCACATCAGCTAGAGCTGAGCTGGTCAGTACTTGGTCATGTAACAGGTTAGCACTGCTTCCAGAGTGAGCGTGGATGAGGACATACGAATAGTGGGGAAAGCTGAAGCTGGGAGGAGATGAAATGTGTGTTGGAACATTGATGCCATATTATTTTGCTATCTGCCATGTTATTTTTCTGAAACAATCTTCAGAGTTTTCAAGGAATTAATTTGGTGGGTTAACTTGCTTTTAAGCATGTAGTGAAAAGATGAGTCATTCCTTCCCATATTTGTGTCACCAAAACATGATGGTTTGTTTATCTGTAGCAATTACATTTCAGCTACCTAGATTTATATGTAGGAGTTTCAGGTAACAGAATGTGTTTTTCTGAATGAGCATGACAAAAGGGAATGCATAATGTAATCTTCTTTGCCATATTTGTACAATAGGTGAAGGAATTGAGAATTTCTGGAAAGTGCTGGAGGAAGGCAAAAACTGCACAGTAGAAATCCCCCCAGAGAGATTTAATACCGAAGAGTGGTACGATCCAGACAGTAACAAGCCAGGAAAAATGTATACAACACGAGCTGCTCTTCTCAATGAGTGAGTGTGTTACTGTGCTGTGCCACAGATTTTTTCTGTATCTAGTCTGATGTGTCCAGCCTTTCAGAGAGAGCAAGCTGCAGGGAGATACTATGAATTGGACGTAGAAACAGTTTTCTTTCATCTCACACAATGAACTTGTAGCTTTCAAATTGCAGGAATTCCTGTATCATGACAGTTATGAGCACATTTCTTTGCAAGGCCACGATCTTTGAATGCATAATGCAACCTTACGACCAAACTTGTCATGTGTTGGGATGCAACCAGTCGTGCAATGGATGTGTACTTTTTGAGTACACACACGCACCTGCGTTAGGTATGAAGGTGTGCATTTCAGATCTGAGGTGGGCTACAGCTGCCAAAGGATTTGTAAAGCCCAGTTATGGCCTGTGGAAGAATGCGGCAGAGTATGGACCCAGAGTACAGTCTGCCTTATGAGTCTTGCCCAGTTTCATTTCGAAGGTTGACCAGATCTGCTGGACCTCAGGCACTAATCTTGTGTATATAAGTACTGGTTTAAGATCCTTCTGAACAAAGAAGTCATGGAGATTTGAACTGTGGTGTGTATGTTTTCACTTGTGTCCCAGTGTTTCCTGTCAAATTATATTAGATATGTGCTTTTTTTTTCTTTTTTCTCCAATATATACAGACAGAATTAATCTTATCGGGCCCTGGGAAGAACACTTAATGGGTTAGGATCAGAATTACTCAAGTATTTTTTCTCCTTTCAGATATTTTGTTTTTTGCTTAATTCAAGAGATGACAGAAAGCCATACAAATGTGATCTTGGAATAAAAGCTAAAATCTGGGCTTAATTATTTTTAACTGTGGGCCTATTTTAAAGATTTTTAAGAGAGAAACACTTCCAAAACACAATATATTTTTAGATTATTGTTAGAGAAAAAGAAAGGTATCTTCTGGGAGCATCTGAGCTGATCCCATACATGTTTAAATTGTACAGTCACATGTCTATATTGTCTTTAAATTGTTTAGAAGGTAGTCATAACTTGTTGACTAGGTCAACACTGCAGCAAAGTGGGTCTCATTGTGCAAGTTTTGATAGCGTGAGGAATGCTGTTGGTACCAGTACGATAATCTACCAGTGTGTAAAAAAAAATGAAAATCAATGAATGGCATTCTATCTGAAATGTAGAATAGTTGATAAAAATATATATTTTTGTGGCAGAAAATAAAGCATTCTTGGTCCAGTCTTTTTTTAAAATTTCATAAATGTGAACTGTGTTCTCAGTATCACTTACTGCTTTACTTTTTGTGACATTGCAAAAGAAAAAGCTGGTAATCTATGTATTGCATACATATTGTGCTTTTTTCTAATTCATGTATTTTAGATTTAACACATTTGACAACCAAGTATTTGGAATAAATAGTATGGAAGCTGAATGCATGGATCCACAACAGAAGTTATTGATAGAATGCACGTACAAAGCACTGGAGGATGCAGGAGTCCCTGTAGAAGCCATCAGTGGCACCAAAACAGGTGTTTTTGTTGGTAAGAGAAAAATTGTGGTGAAGAATATCCATTCTACCCTCATGAAATTGATCACCCCTTTGTAAACTGTGTGTCACTGGCCTAGGAGATGTTAAGGCTACTGTATTATGACTAGTTATTTTTGAAGACAGACTATTAGGTCACTCTAGAAATTCATAACATAATTAATGTATCTAATTTTAGGTGTCCCTGTTAATATCTTGAGGCACCAGTGTTGGCACAGAAAACAATCTCAACTCCACCTAGCCCTTTCTGCTAAACACCTTGATGTTTAGCAGTATACTGTGGTTAAGGTGTTGTGGAGGTTAAGATAGTTTGAAAGCAGCAGAAATTCTTATGTAGATATTGGTATACTACCAAGGTGTAGTTGTCCAACTGCTGATTGTCATAGAATCATAAAATCATAGAATGGCTTAGGTTGAAAGGAACCTCAAGACTCATCAGGTTTCAACCTACATGTCAAGGCAGGGTTGCCAACCTCTAGATCAAGTCTTAGATCAGGCTGTCCATGGCCCCGTCCAGCTCCCCTCCATGGCCCCCCTCCAGCTTGGCCTTAAACACCTCCAGGGATGGGACATCCACAACCTTTCTGGGCAACTTGTGCCCAGAAAACCAGTGCCCACCTCACCACTCTCTCAGTAAAAAAACTTCCTGTCATCTAATTTAAGTCTCCCCTCTTTTAGTTTAAAGCCATCCCCCCCTTGTCCTATCACTATCTACCTGCATAAAAAAAATTCATTTCCCTTATGTTCGTTGTCTTCCTTTAAATATTGGAAGGCTGCAATGAGGTCTCCCTGCAGCCTTTTCTTTTCTGGGCTGAACAAGCCCACTTCCTTCAGCCTGCCTCCACTGGAGAGGTTCTCCAACTCTCTGATCATCTTTCCTTCCCACCAGGTGCTCAGTCACTGTTTCAGGCTGTGATTTAGCATTTCCACTACAAGGGTATACACTCAATCCTATCATTTATGTTATTAATAAAGATGTTAAGGAATATCAGTCCCAAGACAAACCCCGTGGGAATACTACTTGCTTTGCCTGGACATAGAACCATTGACCACAACCCTCTGGCTGTGGCCTTCCAACCAATTCCTTATATACCAAATAATCCACCCTTCAAATCTTTTTATCCTATTAGATATTTTATCCTATTTTATCCTATTATTTTTATCCTATTTAGATATAAGGATGTGGAATCAAGTTCAAGGTTGTACATTCCTTTGTTTTGGTCAGGGTAACGTGACATGTATTTGTATTGTTACAGGCCTTATGAATCGAGACTTTGAAATCATAAGAAGCAAATCAGTAAGTGAAATAAATCACTATGTTGGTACAGGAACAGCAATGAGCATAGCTGCTAATAGGGTCTCCTTCACATTTAATCTGACTGGACCATCGCTGACAATTGACACTGCTTGTTCATCATTTCTTTTTGCCCTGCATTACGCCTTGCAAGCAATGAAATCAGGTAATGGGACTGAAGAGATGGTAGGCAAAAAAATTAGAATTTATGCTGTATGAAATTGCAGAGATATATATATATTATCCTGGGATTTGTATCACATAACTTCTGAAGTTATGTGTTCTAGCTATTTTGAAGAACTAAGTTACAATATTACTTCATGTTTTTATTCTTCCTGAGATGTGATTAATACCTTCATATTCACCAGTAGGTGCTTTAATGGATTCCAGTGCCTCAGAAATATGCACTGTACCTGCAGAAGCAGTAATCTTTTACTGTGAGGAATTCTGTTACTTTCTCTAACATAGCCTGATGTAATTTTAGATAATTGTATTGGGTACTTTTTCAACAACCAGTCACAATGACAGATTCCAATCTTAACAATTAAAACATCACTACTAACTTTTAGTATCAGTGATGTCTTTCTGTAATATCTGTCTTTTCAATCAACTAAGTTACAGTTAATGTGTTTCTTTCAGTGACCTTGAACATCTCAACTGGAATATGTTTCTGTTTTACTCCAGGAGATTGTGAGGCAGCTATTTGTGGTGGTGTGAACAGCATAATCGCTCCCAGTACTTTTGTGTCTCTCAGTAAAGCAAAAATGATCTCTCCAGATGGAATGAGTAAACCCTTTTCCAAAAAGGCAGATGGCTACGGAAGGGGAGAAGGCTGTGGTGTTGTTTTCCTCAAACCACTGAAAAAGGTAAGACTGTTTGTGAAGAAGCCTAAAATAAGCCTGGCTTCTTACCTGAATTTTGTGTATCCATTTCTTGTAGTTACTGTAGCAAAAAGCATTTCTAATATAAGCTTATTATTAGCATTAGGAAAACATTTATGCTTTTCTTCTAGCGTGGGAAAGATCACAAATGTAAGAATCATAGAATCATGGAATCATAGAATCATAGAATCACAAGGTTGGAAACGACCTACAAGATCATCTAGTCCAACCGTCTCCTCATCACCATTGCCACCACTAACGGTTACTGACGGTTCTTTTCCTCGCAGATAGATAAAGCATGAGATGATTAAAGATGATTTTCTGTTTCTATGAAACAGGCAATGGAAGACCACAGCAAAATCTGGGGTGTTATAAACATCAGTGCAGTCAATCAGAATGGTAGGTCTATAACGCCGATCACAAGGCCATCTCAAATAGAGCAGGAGAAGTTGCTGCGCAGCATTTATGAAGGTCATGTGGATCCCTCAGTTGTGCAGTATATTGAAGCTCACGGGACGGGAACTGCTGCTGGAGACCCCACGGAAGCTGAAAGCCTTGGCAATGTCATCTGTAAAAACAGACCTTCACAAGTTCCTGCTCTGAAAATTGGTTCGGTGAAAGGAAATATTGGCCACACCGAATCAGCTGCTGGAGCAGCAGGTTTGATCAAAGTGCTTCTGATGATGCATCATGGGAAGATTGTTCCATCTTTGCATTACTCAAAGGAGATGAGCAGCATCGATACAGAGAAGTTAAACCTTGCCATTCCCACCGCGGTGGAGCCCTGGGAAGATTCCGGTGAGTACGGAAGAGTAGCTGGCATCAACTGCTTTGGATTTGGAGGAACCAATGCCCATGTTGTAGTCAGGCAGGTTAAGCAGCCAGAGCCTCTTCCTGCCTTTAAGAGGCCGCTGGAATTAGTCCTGCTGTCCGCAGCATCAGCTAAGTCCCTTCAGATGACAATGGCAGACACAGCTGCGCATCTGAGTACAAGAAACTGCGTAACTCTGCCAAGCGTGGCCTATACATCTGCCTGCAGAAGAAGCCATGCCAACTACAGGTACCGAAAAGCATTTGTGGCAAACTCTCTCCGACACTTGCAGCAAGAAGTTACGTCGGCAGCAAGCACTGACTTTGCCACGTCCAAGGTGGATCCTCAGCTGGTGTTTGTGTTCTGTGGCAACGGCGTAACACTGAAGGAGTTCAGTGAGGCACTGCTGAGCTCAGAGCCGGTGTTCAGAGACAAGTGTAAGGAAGTAGAAGCGCTCTTTCGGAAACACGCTCCCATCAGCCTTCTGCCAGCAAGAGGTCGCAGCTCAAAGGAGTTGCTGAATCCAGAACTCTCCCAGCCCATGCTCTTTGCCCTGCAGGTTGCCTTAGCTTCTCTTCTAAAGTACTGGGGCATTAAGCCAGTGGCTGCAGTTGGCCATTCCGTGGGGGAAGTTGCCGCAGCACATTTTGCAGGGTACCTTTCCCTGGCAGATGCGGTCAAAGTGATATATCACCGGAGCAGGCTGCAGGCCAAGACTGCCAGGGGCAGAATGCTGGTGGTTGGAAACATCCCCGTTCAAGAGATTGCTGAACATCTGCATCGCTACTCGGGAAAGGTGTGCATTGCAGCTTTCAACAGCCCAGTTTCCTGCACCTTGTCTGGAAATCCAGATGATGTGGACTTGGTCCAGAAAGATCTAGCAGAAGCTTTCAGCCACAGAAACATCTTTCTTCATGTCTTAAATGTCCCAGCTGCCTACCACAGCCCTAGCATGGATGTGATACTTGGGGAGTTGGAGCAGAGCGTAGAGCCTTTAGAAGTACAGAAGGGTGACGTTGAAGTAATTTCAACTCTGACCGGGGCAGCTGCTTCTGCAAATGACTTCACTCGTGGCAAATTCTGGGCGCAGCATACTCGTGAGCCAGTTGCTTTCACTCAAGCCATAGCGACTGCAGCTAGAGACAGGGAAAATGTAGTGTTTGTTGAAATAAGTCCTCATAGAGCGTTGCAGAGAAATATAAAAGAGACTCTAGGGAAAGTCACCAAGGTTTTCCCTTCTCTGCAGTCTGATGCAGAGTATCAGGCACTCTTTAGTTTGGTTGGAAATCTGTTTGAATTGGGCTATAACCCCAACTGGCACCACTTTTATGATGGATATCAAAGCATTCCAGTAACCATTCCACGATATCAATTTGATCGTAAAAGAGCTGTGGCTTCTCTGGATACCCGCCAACAAGCAAATCAAAGAGACGTTGGCTCTGGTCATCCTTTGATTTATGTCATCAACAGTGACAACACGCAGTTTGGCTGCCTGCTCTCCCAGGACACCACATCCTACTTATATGAGCACAAGAACAACGGTGTGGCTTTAGTTCCTGGTGCTTTTTATGTGGAGCTTGGTCTGGCCTGCGTGATGAGCAGCTCAGGACCTAAAATGCCTCTGAGTGCTTGCCAGATGAGCGTCAGTTTTTCAGCGCCGTGCGTTCTCACACAGAGTTCCCAAGTCTTGAATATCAATCTGAGTCCACAAAAAGCAGCGACAGCCTTTGAGATACTCTCTTCCTCCAACGCAGTTTACGCTTCAGGCCAAGTTAGAAAGGTGCCTGAGGCTGTGGTGGAAGAAAGCACCATCTCCTTCCAAGAGGTCTATCACAGATGCACGTCAGTGATTAGCACAGAGAAGGTCTATGAAGCACTGTCTCAGATTGGCTTTCAGTATGGCTCCGTATTCAGGCAGCTCAGGGATGTGCATTATTGCCAGGAACTAAAGGAAGCTATAACAAGCATCAAGGTGAACAAGGAGACTCTCGGAGAGATGTACAGCTACTGTATCCACCCAGTGCTGCTGGACTGTTTTATGCAGATGACTGCTGTCATGATCTCAAGCACGCAGCAGTCCAGAGCAGGCTTTCCTTCAGGGATAGGCAGCCTGGTGGTGCTGCGACCTCTGGAGGAAGAAATGATGATATATATGAGAACAAGCAAATCCATTGGGAACTGCTTTGAGGTCTGTGGATGCTTCATGGACAAACACGGGTCCGTTTTGGCTGAACTCAAGCGTGTTGCCATCACTTTCATGAAACCAGTGTCTTCCAGAGACAATGAGTTCATGTTTGAGAACAAGTGGTCAGAAGTTTCTCCGTCAAAGATGATTGGTCATGTAGAAGCAGTGCCTAGAGTCCTAGTGTTTGCTGACAAATTTGGGATAGCTGAGCAGCTCAGAAAATATTTGCATCCTGATTCCAGATACGTTATGTATGAAGACTGGGAATCCCTCTTGGAAGTCCACGCAGGGAATAAGATGAAAGCAGAGGTTGAGGATTACAATGAAGTTCTCTTCCTGTGGGGAATTCAAAAGGTGAATGAAGAGCTCCCAAGTAAGGTGGTCGACCAGCTCTCCAAGTGTTGTGAAGCCTATCGCCAAGTTATCGTGGCGTTAAGAGAGAAAAGTTCTCCCTGTTCAATCCGAGTGATCAGCTACAGAACAACAGAAAGAAATGTAGACCACGTTAACTGTGGGTTTGCATTGCATGGCATGACCAGAACTTGTGTTGTTGAAGTTCCAGAAATCACGTTTCAGATAATTGACCTCAGCTCTTCCAGCTCCCTGGACATCTCAACATTATCAGATGTCCTTGTCAAATACAGAGGAAAGGATTATCCGGAAGTCTACATCAGCCAAGGAAGAATTTATGCATCTGAAATCAAACGCACTCCTTTTGTAGATGAAGATTACAGCCAGCATGTACGGTCTCTCCAGAATTCAGAAACATTCACTTTGTACACTGCTGATCCATACTCAGCAAAAGACTTGTCTGCTGAACTATCCACCAGCACTGCTACTCAGCTGGAAAATCAAAGTGTTGAGATTCAAGTGGATAAGATCTGTATCCACTCTGAAGATTATTTTCCCATTAGTGTTTCTAGTCATAACTTTGGCAATGCACTCTACTGGAATTCCCAAGCAGCAGACAAACACAGACTTTTAGCTCTTGATTTCAGTGGCACAGTCATTGCAATAGGCACAGCTGTGAAGAAGGTTAAAGTGGGTGATCGCGTGGTTTCATGTTATCCGGCAGCTGCATCATCCAGAATTCAGGTCCCAGGAACTGTTTGTTTAAATGTAAAGAAATTTCCGTGCTTTCAGACCGTCCCTTGTGTGTCCTACTTCATCATTGCATGGGAGATCTTAAATCAGAGGTTACCCAAGGGGAAGCACGGCAGAACTTTGGGAATTATTTCTACAGAACCATCATCAGTGTTATGCCGTGTTCTTTCTGTGGCAGCAGAAGAGGTGGGCTGGAAAACAGTACTTGCAAGGCCCACTCCTGATATGCTGCAGCATGTAAATGCATGCAATGCCCTTGTTGTTCTTCCTTCAGTAGGGAGACTGTCTCAGGAGGATTTGGCACACATGTACTGTCTGAAAGACGTGGTGATAGTATGTGGCCATCAGCAATCGGAATGTATTCAGAGCGTCAGTGGACTTGATCATGAACATATCAGCTTTCATATTCTCATCCTTAGCAGTATCTTCCAGAAGGCATCTCTAAAGGAACTCCAAAAGGCTGTGCGGGTGTGGATCGGTTCTTTAGATATGAAACGGTTCAGACATCTACCAGGCTCTGTCTTCCAGCAAACTGAGAACTTTGAAAGGCCGCAGTCTGTGGTGTGCTCTTTTACCTGCAAATCTGTCCCACTTGCTGTACTGAGAAAGCAGAAGGACATCCCTGTTCTTTCAGATATCCCATTGTATGGATCTGAGAAGAAGATATTTAAGCCGAACGCTGTTTACGTAGTAGCAGGGGGGCTGACTGGCCTTGGCTTTGAAACTGTGAAATTCATTGCGGCGAATGGAGGAGGGTGTATTGCAATACTGTCCAGGAAAATTCCGAGCAAGGAGAAGCAAGAAGAGATGAGGGATTTGCAGATGAAGTATGAAGGCAGCAAAATAGTGTTTGTGCAGTGTGACATTACTTTGACCAGCGATGTTGAGGAAGCTTTCCAGATCATTGCAAAATTATTTGAAGGGTGTCCAATCAAAGGTGTCTTTCAAAGTGCTGTTGTTTTACACGATGGTCGCCTTGAAGTTCTGAAGTTTGCTGACTTTCAGAAAGTGCTAAGCCCCAAAGTGGCAGGGACTCTAAATCTTCATTGGGCTACAAGAGGCCAACAGCTTGACTACTTTGTGTGCTACTCCTCCATTACTTCCTTTCTAGGAAACTCCACGCAGGCAAACTACGCAGCTGCAAACTCTTTCCTGGACGTCTTCTGCCTCTACAGGAGGAACTGTGGTCTTTCGGGCCAATCCATCAACTGGGGTGCTTTGAACCTCGGCATATTGCTCAATCAAAACCAGATTCAGAACATTCTGGGATCCAAGGGCATAGATATTCTGGAAGTGCATGAGATTCATGAGTATCTCAAGAAGAGCTTACTTTCAAATAACCCTCAGCAAGCTGTTGTCAAATTAAATTTTAAAACTTTATTTAATCATGTTTTTACTCGGATTATTTCACTTAAAAATCGGTTTACATCACTCATGTTAGAAGAATTTGGAAGCAAGCTTGAACCCCCTGAGAAATCTCAAGTCCAGGATACTGCTTCAGTCAAGTCTGAAGACTATATTACCTCACTGATGGCTGACCTCACTGGACTGAACCCAGATGAACTGGCCATGAATACTCCACTTTCATCATTGGGCATCGACTCTATGTTAGCCATGACAATTCAGAACCGTGTCTTTCAAGAAAGAAAGGTGGACATACCTCTTCTGAAACTACTTGATCCTCACACCACTCTGTCAAGTTTAGTAGTAGTTTTAGGAGAAACAACCAATGCAGATGGAACTGTAGAGAAAAAAATGTCTGCAGTTGCAAGTGGAGAACATGAGATTCGGCTGTAGGAATCATTTCTTTCAATAATTATGTAAAGATGATTAGACCCTTTGCAGGATCTCAATAATTTTCTGATTCTTGTTACAGGTATAAATTGGACATCTTTCTAATGACTGTTTTTAGGTGTTGTGAATGTAAGGGTTTTCTTTTTCAACAATTCAGAATTTGTATTTTGCTTATACAAAAATTTTAAAAATTGTCAGTAAAACAACTGTATTTGTTAGCCTTTTATGAAAGAGCATATAAATGAAAATAGTAACATTTTTTAAAATGCAAAACTGCAAGTGTATCTCTGTGCTGTTTTAGTTTTTATCCTTCCTGCACCCTCCAATTTTAAATGTTCCTAATAACAACAATTACCCCTACTTTACTTCCAAGAGAAAATACTAACTTTCCCTGTAGTACACTGAGGAAACTTGGTCACTAATTGATTAAAATGAGGACAGTGTCCTTGTATTGTTTATCCATTTTATATCCAGTTACCACTTCCCATCAGATTTCTCTTGCAGTTCTGGCAGCATCTGGACTTACCCTAATACAGGGTTGGCACATCACCTGGCTGAGAAGGGAAGCCACCTCTGTAATAGTGGAAGTTGAGTTTATTGTCAGTATCTTTCATAAATTGGGCAGGCGGCTGTGATTTGTTCAAAACTGAACCAGCATTAGATCCTTTTGTTATTTTATGTGAGAAAAGGTCATTTGCACACCCATGAAGAGCAGAAAGAGTCAATGGTAGGTGATGGAACCTAGTTTATTTTCCTCCCATGGCTGTGCCCAGGCCTATCATAAGAAGAATTCACCTATTAAAGGCCCCTCCCCATACATCCAAAGGAGCACAGAGAGCACAAAGGCCCAATGACAATCAAGAAGCCAAATTAAGGACTCAGAGGAAGAGATATCCTGCTTGGGACCATCTCAGTGCTATCTCAGGGGAGCCTCAGCCCCCGTGTCAAGGTATGACAGCCATCAAGATCAGACGATACTGGAACAGCCTTTGAACTGAGGGTGGTTACTGCCTAGGGCTAGTGGGACGCCTCATGGTACTCAGGGAAAGAATATTTCAGGACTGCGCTTGTGTGTCATTTAGGAGAAGAACACAAGTTTATAAAAGGGAGGGATCTAGGTGATTTGAGGAGCAACAAGCATGGGGGACAGAGGGATAAGGAGATAAAGCAAGCCTGTTGTGTGCCAGCGGATGGCTGATCATTACATTTGGCCATGCTTTATAGCTGATCAGTATATCTACCCTTCTGTCCTATCTTCTTCCTAAATTCCTTTCAATCTCTTCTCCTGGGTGAAAGACTCTCTAACTTGTGTGTATGCGTATGATGTTACTGATATAGGTAAGAAACAGTGTGTTTCAGGGTAGAGCTCTGAAGAACTCTGCTTGTAACTGGTCTTTGGAAAGAATGTGAACCTTCACTTTTTGAACCTGATGATGCAGCCAAATTTTCACCACAGGACTAGTCCACTCAATGAGAGCATAATATCCCAACTAGTAATAGCTGCCAAGAGTGCCAGCTCAACAAATGCTACCTCTTGTCCTCTCTTTTGCTTCAAATATGAAGAAAAAGTCAGGCACACTTACTACGGACAGGCATGATTAGCTTTTCTTATTTGAGGCACATGAAACCTCACTGAAGAAATCATGTAGGGAGCAATCCAGTCCATTGCAGAATGAGAAGTATGAAAGATGGCTATTTCTCAGAGGCTGCCCTCATTGCAAATGTCCCTTGGTCCTTTGGATCTCATTGCAAAATGTCTCTTGGTCCTTTGGATGCGTGATTATCTCACAATGATGAAGCCCCAGAGTGTCTTGGCAGATGATTTCTTGCCAGTAGTTTCATCATGACTGGCAGTAGCAGACACAACTGCCTTTGATTGCTGGAACTACTGCAAAAGAATTAGCAAATGAGTGTTCAAGGAATCCAGTGTAGGGCGGTTGCTGACAAAATCCTTCATGATATTGAAGAAGTGTCCTGAAATCCATCCCCTTGTATTCTGAAACTGTTCAACTGGCTGTTACATCAAAATCAGGAAGGGGAAGCAAGAGATATATGTCGATGCAGTCTGATGACCAGAATTAAATATCCTAATTATTACATGATTTAGCAGAGCTGGGGAAGGGAGATCTGTCAGGTCTTCTAGACATGCTTTGAATAGGGGGGCTAAATCTCAAGGGTGTAGTATTGCTGAATGATTGAAGTTGGAAATGACCTCTGGCAGCCATCTGGTCAAGTCTGTTGGCCACAGTAAGGCCACCAGTTGGATTGCTTGTAGCCTATTCTTGTGAAGTCCTAAATATCTCCAAGTATGTAGATTCCACTGCCTCTCTGAGCAACCTGTCCTACTGTTTGATTACTCTCACTGTGAACATTTTTGGCCCATAGAGCTAATCAGTGTTGTCCAAACACTTCTCGATATCTGACAGGCTTTGTGCCTTGACTGCCTTTGGGAGCCTGCTCCAGTGCCCAACCACCCTCTCAGCGCCAAAACTTTTTGTAGCCAGCAGGTCAATAGAAGCGATTGTCCCCCTCTACTCTGATTTCATGAGACCCCATCTGGAGCACTGTGTACAAATCTGTTCCCCAACACAAGAAAAATGTGGAAAAGGTCCAGAAGTAAGCCATAAAGATGTTCAGAAGCTGGGCTTGTTCAGCCTGGAGAAGAGAAGGTTCTGAAGAGACCTCATTGCAGTCTTACACTAATTAAAGGGTCTTATAAAGAAGAACAAGAGCAGCTTTTTCCAAGGACAGGCAGTGATAGGATGAGGGAGAAGAATGTTAAATAAGAAGGGGGGATTCAGGTTAGATGTTAAAAAGAAATTCATTACTCAGAGGGTGGTGAGGCACTGGAACAGGTTGCCCTGAGATGATGTGGATGCCTGGAGGTATTCAAGACCAAACCGGACCGAGCCCTGGACATACTGTAGAGAGTCCAATGAAAGGCAATACTGGACCTGGAGCATCTATCCTGAGGAAAGGCAGAGGGAGTTGGGACTGTTCAGCATAATGCAGAGAGGACTCAATGTCTAACAAACACCTGAAATGAGGATGCAAAGAGGATGGATCCTCCCAGCTGATTCCAGAGCTTGTATCCCCAGCTCCTGAGGCTGTTACACACATTCAGCACTGTAGGCAGTGAAGCTGGGTTAAGTATACATGAACATCTCACGTACACCTTCACATTGTGTAGTTATAATCTGTTGATCAAAGCCTTGGTAAAGTCAGGTCTGACCACAAGGCCAAAGCACCAACTCTGGCTGAATGCACTGCTGCTTTCTGGCTTTCTCTTACCCAAGCTGCCTCTGCTGGGCCAGCAGCAGTGCCCAGCCAAACACTGTGGGCAAAGCCAGGCTCTCATCACCTCCCGATGGCATTTGTGTTCTGAGGGGGTGATAGGGCAGCTCCTGCCTTCCACGTCTTTGCTTTTGGTTGCTGCTCAGGATCTGCCATAAAGGGGCCAGAATATGTGAATAAAACCAAGAGCACCCTAACCCACACGTAGTAAGAATAATAAGAAAGCTGATTTTGAAAAAGGCTCTGGGGATGTGCATTTCAGCTGCAGCTGGCGCAGGGAGCATTTGGCAGTCCTACAGCAGCAGGTCACAGTGCAGAGGAGCACAGCAGTGGCAGGGTGCTGAGGGCCCTTTTGCTTCTGCCTGCCAAATGTGTAGGAGATATAAGCAGAAAGACAGAGTGGGAAATGCAAGCAGATGACACAGTAAATAGGAGATACGTTAGATGGCCTGAAACCTGCAAGCAGCTGGAAGGGAAGGGAAAGTTATCCAGAAGCAGCAGGATGGCCTGGGAGAAACAGCCTGCATTGCTGTGACAGTGCAACAGGAGCAGTGACAGAGTCCTGCGTGCTCTTCTGTACTGCCAAATATCATCGCCGGAGCATGCAAACAGACCCTTGCAGACTCTTGCAGATCTTGCTCGAACCCTTGGATTGGATTCAGTGCTCTTTGTCAGCTGCTGTCAGACAGGAGCTAGAAGAAAGCTGCAGCTGCCCTTTCTGCCTGGAAAACAATGTTCTGTTCATAATCGGGACTGTAATTAGATAAATTACTTGTTGAAGAAGTCAGTATTTATGTTTCACAGAAAGCTTTTAGTGACAACATTGTTCGGTCGTTGCAATGATCCTCAGGTAGCATTAACCACCTGGGGTGTGTTTTCAAAGGCTCTCAGTCTCCAAACTCTCAGTCCCGTTATCACAGGAAGGATCCCATTAGCAGGATGCAAGTTCAGTCATTAGATAATCACATCCCTAGCGCAGTCTGTGGAAAAATATTGATTTTTCCACTCAGATCCTGAAATGATAAATGTAGGCAATCTGCAAAGATGCCTGCCTCCCCTGGTCTGAGTATACCCATGAATGTAATTAGTCAGATAGGCTCTGCACAGCAGTGGCATAAATTAATGAGAAGAGATAGAACTTTTATTTGAAAAATGTACTCAGAGCTGCATGGTTTGCCTTCTGCCCCGGGCAATTAGTCAGAGCATCTCTTTGTTATGTGGATGGACTTTTCAGGCTGAACTATGTTTTCACACAAATAAACCATTATGTTTCTTGTTTTGCATGGATCATGTAATGCTTGATAACATGCAGGTTGGACTGCAGAACTTGCTCAGACTCGCATCAGGAACTGTTGCTCCTGATATGCCAAGCTATGCCATTACACAATTGTGGTTGTAGCTCTGGTGTTACCCAGGTGATGCAGGTTTTAATGCAGATCCCCCTTGACTAGTTGTGGCCAGTGCCTTTGGGAGTCTCTCCCCACTGTCCCAGGTGAGCTACCTTGGCTCTGAGCCCAGTCAGTCAAACACCAGGATCCTACAAAGACAATCTGTATTTTCTTTGAATCCGTGTAAATGCTGTAATCAATGTTGTTGAAGGATTAAAATACGTCTCACTTCAGCCTGTTTCTAAGGGAGGTGTGTTCTTTGGAACATGGCTGTTTTTTTTTTTCCCTTTGTTTCTTATTCTTTCATTTTATTAACTGCTTCATTGATGCTCAGGTAGCAATGAGCCATTTTTGGAAATCCCAGCATACAAGGGCTGCTCCAGAAGTAATGCTTCCTATTTTATTATGATGATCCACAATGTCAGCGGCACATGTTGGCAGTAAGGCCGTAGAGGTTGAACCTTCTCACCAATATCCTGTTACATTTTATTGCCACTTGACAGATGGCAGCAGAGGGGCAGGCTGACAGAATGGCATCTGACATGGAAGTGCATAGGAAGCAAAGGTGTGAAATTGAATTCATCCATGCAGAAAAAAAATTGCACCCATTGACATTCGTTGATGCTTGCTGAACAATGGTAGAGATCACACAGTAGATGTGAGCACAGTGAGACAGTGGGTGGTGCAGTGCAGCAGTGGCAAGAGTGACGTGAAACACAAGACACGTTCTAGATGTCCATGCACAGCCTCTCACCACAAAATGAAGAGCATCTTGACCCACTCCTCCACAAGAATCAGCCGATTACAGCCAGGGAACTGTGTACAGAAAAACTACTGAGGTGTGTTAATTCTCTTCAAATAAAAGACAGCACACAGACTTATTCTCAGAGACATTTTGATAGATTAAACAAAGGAGGGAGTGATATGAACAAACCGCAGTGCTTCAAAGTTGATATCTCCATGTCAGCTGATCACCCTGAACTCCCCTTACAGTCATTTGTGACTGACAAACACTGTGAGCCATGGCTGTTTGATCCAAAATGGAACATCTACAATGGATCTGATGACTCTGCTCTCAGTGACATGCTTTCCCTATGGAGTATGAGGAAACCAGTGCAGTTAGCTCTCCTGTTGCTCTTGAGAAGACAGCCAGACTGATTTTGTTGAACTTTCAGGGAAACACAACCTAAGTAGCCGTAGATGAAACAACTGTAAGCTTATGGCCTACATTTGGCAAAAATCTAGGAAACTGTACAGGGGGCTGTGTATGACTGAATGTCAGATAAAATGCATTACAGTGATACTCATGTCATGTCTACACATGTCAGACCTCAACAGAGGAGCAGCTTCATTTGCTCATGACATGTGTGACAACTGAGGAAGCCACCTGGGCCATGGCACTGGTTTAGAAAAATATCCTTACATTTCTCAGAACAGAAATAAAGGTAGATTACATCCAAATGTTGGATTCAAAATCAAGATATAAAAACCAAGATCTTGCACAGAGCTCTAATTTCTTGCCATCAGCTCAATTTATGGCTAAACCATTAGGAAATCCAAATAACGAAGTGTCTCAAATCAACAAACTAGGTCTTCATTTCAATATGTGGACTGAGAAGAAAAATGCTGATTTATCTATTTTCTCAGAAATTAAGCCAGTAAGTAGTAAAATTGACAATTTCAAAAGCAGACAAAGTTCATATTATGAAAATTCTATTTGGAAGATTTACCTATTTACACAATTGTGATCCAGTTAAGAACCATACAAGGAAAAATGTGCATAATGTAAGCTGTTTTTCTGATGAATAGATCTGTTTCTGTGATCTCAAATTTTATATTGGATTTTTAGTATGGAATCCTTGTTTTTTTCAGCATCTCTACACAGATCAGAAGCTACATAGTTTGGAACTGTAGGACAAGATGTGAGGGAACAGCATCATGTTACACCAGGGAAGATTTAGATTGGATGTCAGGATGAATTTCTTCATGGAGGTTGTGTTTGGGTGGCTGAGCACTGGAACAGGCTGCCCAGGGTCCACCATCCCTAGAGAGAAATGTGTGGATGTGGTGCTTAGGGACATGGTTTAGTAGTGGACGTGGTAGTTAGTTGAATGGTTGGACTTTATGAGCTCAAGGGTCTTTTCCAATCTAAATGATTCTGTGATTCTGTGAGTATGACCATGAGCTGTACTAGGTTTAGGAGAAACCTTGGGTTTCAAATGGTGTATGAAAATACAGGCTGCCCATCCCACTAGGAAACCAATGGTATTATTTCTCCAATTTCAGTTAATGCCTCAAGTTGGCAATTGAAAACGCAGCTGAGCAACTGAACACACAAAAGTCAATCACTTGCTCTTGACTTGCCAAGTTGCTTGCCATGGAAATGCCAAGTTTACAAGTGCTTTTCAGAAATAATTGGCTTTAGCACTCAGCAGAAGAAATGCCTTTCTTCATTTTTACATGTCCCAGTTGTGTTCTACAGCTTGAATCCAGTATTGGAAACTATGGAAAAAGAAAACTGAAATTAAAACTACATAAGCTGAATACAGTACTGTTTGGGATGGCTGTTTCTGCAGAGGTCAGTGAGCAATGCTCAAAATCCTGGAAGTTCAGTTGTTTTCAGACCAGAAATAACACACAAATATAGAAGAAAAAGAAAGCTTTGTAAAAACATGTCATCAAACAGTGGGTAAGTGATACTTAATAGAAATTTGATGGAAAAAGAAGGGCTACTCTTTCTTTCACACTAGCTCTGTATATCAGAAATATAAACTGGATGCAGTCCTGACTGGAAGCACATTTGTGCTCCTTGCCTGAGTGTCCCAGTGGCCACTGCACTGTACTGGTGTGATCATGAAAATCCTCATAACCTGTCTGGACATTTCTGCTGCTGAGAAGGACTGTTGAACTGCCAAAGGCTTTTGCACTACCAGTTCTGGACTTTAAAGGCAGAGGCTGCCGCTGCAAAAATACAAAAGCTAAATAAAAATTGGCATTTTGCTCAACATAAATTCCATTACCACATTCATCAAATAAAGAGAAACAACAGGTGCAGAACATCTGAGAATTAAGACACAATTTGTCCAACACTTTCATGGAACAGAACTGAAACTGAAAATGTTGACTACTGCCAGTATGCGTAGCATCATCTAGATCTGTCTCCTGAAAACTTGATTTCCTCTACAATTTTTGAACCTGCACCTGATGTACATGACAATATGAACAAGTGCTGCCAAGAGGAAAAATAGTACGTGAGACCAAGGTTTATCTTAATTTGCCAGGATTTGAATAGTGAAATTCCAGGTACAGCACTTTGCTGGGCAATGCACAGGGAAAGCACAGAGATCTGGGAAGGTCTGGGAATGAGAGCTCGTGGGGAAATTGAGAACAAATTCACATCCCAGTATATAGCAAACCTGCTGAAATGGTGGACTCAAATCTGGATCTCACACATGAGCAAGCTTTGCCTGGGCCTGATAGGTTCCTTTGATTAAGAACACAGATATTCTCAACTAAACCAGGTAAAACAAAGTCTTTTTTTAATATTTTTATTTTATTTTATTTTATTCATTAGTGTAGAAAATGTTCCACGATGTAACAATCAAAAGTTATGAAAGAAAATGACTGTAGTCCTCCTCACAGTTATGGAAGTGTGATGAGAGACTGCAAAGGCTGAGCCTGGGGAGCAGCTGGTACTTCATGTCCAGTGACACCAAAGGGCTGAGAGGACACGTGAGCTGCTTCACTTCCCTAGGGAAAACTTACAGCTTTGGAGAGAAAATGTTGCTTTATGTGTTCCGAGGAACATGTTTAGGACAGGCAGCCCGTGTGCCCAGGGGGAAGGTCCCCCAGCTGCAGAGGGCTGGAGCCCACGTGGAACCCAGGGCTGGGTGTGGGCTGTCACCGCCCTGCAGAGCTGCTGATGGAGCCTCACCCCGTGCTGAACCATGGCAGTGGGCCAGGCAAACTCGTTCCACCTCATTTTCCCCTTGACTTTCCACTACAGCCAGGTTCTTTTGCACTTCTTCCTCACACCAGCACTGGGCAGGAAGCCCGTTAGCTGGGCACTAGGATGATGAGATGT